CACTATTTTTCCTCCATACTGGACATCTTAATCTGAAACTTTCCACAAACACATGACCTTGCAAAGTTGTACACTCGCTTCTATGACAATTCTGTTTTTGTTTTTTTTAATCCCAGCTCCCAGAGAGTGTCTCAAAGGACGTTTTTTCCGTAAGGTCAGACGTATCCATTTGGGAAATTAATCAGTGGCTTCTCCTGCTGCATTAACACAATATGTCAAACACACAAATAACCTTCCTCCAATATCCAACACAAACACAGAGGAAACCTCCCTCCCTCACACCTTGGACCATGTGTGGAAGCATGAAAGCAGAGATGACAGCACACAGAACCTGAGTTCCCTCGAGCCTGGCACCAGATGAGAAGCACATCTGTGTAGAGCCGGTGCAGGACGTAAACAGGAGATGACTCTCTGACCTCTGCAGCAAACAGTAAGGTTTTATCAGGCTTTCTTTAAACAGGTTAGGTTTGCACTGGCACTTGTTCAAACTTTGAGGGAAAAACCACGGCCCAGTAAAAGTCATCACCAGGGTCAGAAATCCAAAATCTGAATTTTTGTCATGGTAGTCTCCTGTAATGGTTTTGAAACAAATTTGTTTTTTTACTGGTAGCAAACTGTTTTGTTTTGGTTTTTTATATGTATATTTTGTATGACTTTTTCATTCGAGGCAGTCAAGTGTGTTGTAGAATTACCATTTAGAAAGGCGATAACTAAAAAGGGTAGCCAAAAATGTGGCAGACGCATCTAGTAGCTATCTAAGATTGGCAAAACAAATTGTGTTTGTATTTGGGATCACTCTAACAGTTACATTGCATTGACTTTGCTGCATCACTAACAATGGTGCAGCTAGGTGGAAGCTAAAAGGGTAGCTACAATGTGGCAGAAGAAGCACCTAGTAGCTAGCTAAGACTGGCGAAAGATGTATGTAAATTCCTAAAAGGTAGTTCCAAAACAGTTGCGATTACTACAATATGCTTTTAACTTGATCTAATATGTCCATTTTAACCAATGCAGTTTTCTACCATAACATTTTTAATGGCTTTTTTAAAATCACTTTTCTTTTTAAACCGCTTGCCTACAACTTTTTCTTTATTTGTTCAGTGTGGCTGCAATCTGGTGCCTGCAAACACATCCCAGTACATCCCACATCCTAGTCATGCATGCATCCTGTGAGTGGGAGTCCTGTCATCCCGCGTGTCCCCTGATTTGTTCTTTTTTTTTTTTTTCTTGTAATTTGTCAGCTGGCTGTAAGATGCTCCACCATCATGATTGTTACCAAGCTCAACTACAACCCAGTAAACATGGGGAAAAAAGGAAAAGGAATTGGTTTTAAAAACAGCAGGGAACTTGAAAAATAGTACTTTGCTGGACTGGAATACAAACACTGAATGGCCTTAGAGAGAATTCACAAGCAGTAGCAGCAGCAGCAGCATGCATAATTCTTCACAAGATATTAAAAATACACACACACACACGAACGAGACAATATAAATGAATAATGACATTTCATCGATTTTTAAATGTGCACGACACAACTGTGAATTCTACAGGTCTGTGTCTTTGTGATGTGTTCAGGACTCCTTTCATCTGACGGTGTGGTGCACCTGCCAAAATGAAAGGCTAGATGATTTCCTAAATACTTAGGTATCAAGGATAGACTGTCTATTCATCCAATCACCATGACAACAGCACTTTCACTCCCTCTTTTCTTTTGGAAGTCCGCGCTCATTGTTAATTATTTCTTCTACCACTCTCTACAGTGGGACTCTTGATTCCTTGATTTGCCTCCCGTGTTCAGGTGTTACAGGCATGTAAAGCAGACATGGGGAAAACTAGGGCCCGGGGGCCAGATGCTGCACGTAAGGCTAGAACCCCTCTCATGTCAATACAAATTGTTCAAATGGTAGTATGAACGCGTCCACATTCAGACTGTATTCATTTGGATTTGGTGGTGGTCGACTCGGGGTTCTATACCAATGTGGGTCGCATCGGAAAGGTAAAGGCGATGTCATGTCATATACTGTATATACTTTACAAAAACAAAGACTTTTTTGGTTGTTGTTAGAAATTCTGCTTCCCAGTGAGCAATTATGAAGCAAAGACATTGTTAACAAGTCAAGACAAGGTTTACGCATCAAGAAGGGAAATTCAATCAGTCAAGTCAAATGGATTAATTTTCAGTAGTGGTTATTATACAGTACTGTGTTGTTACAGAGGAGACAGAGCTGGTTCTGCCTATCACTTAAATTGTAAATCACTGTGGCCCCTAAGCCAAGAGTTTGCCCACGTCTGCATTAGAGCCACTCAGAAGTAAACACTAATGCACAGAGGTTCTCTCCCTCAAAAGTTGTTGTGCTGTTTGCTGATACATTGGTTACAATTAAATGAATTGATTTTTTTTTACCCTGAAGTTACTACAGTATTTTCTGTTGAATTAAGATTTCATGAGAGACCACAAAGCATTACTGAACGTATTTATTAATGACACAGAGTAATGTTTCAACAGCCATGTTCTCAGAAAAACCTCCAGGCCATATTTAAAAACAAACTTCTTTACATACTATAAATACTAAAAAATAAAACTGAAAGCTCCTTTCACCTCCACATTGATTCACGACTTTGTAAATACCCCCAGACCAAAATGAATATTGCAACAGAACAATTTTATCAAATGTAAACATTAGCGTAAAAGAAAAAGGAAATAAGATTTGAAAGATTAAATACAATTTAATCCATCTTTATTTGTCAGGTGATTCTGCACATGTTTTGAATTGTATGAAACCATTTCCAAAATGTCTCAGGGGAAGTCACCAAAAACATTTTTTTTCCATCAGATTTTATCTTGCCATGTCAGTTGAGTGCTGAGATTCGTTACGTCACCTGGTGCGACTTCACTGCTGCTCCACACTGTTTACAAATGGACACACTTTCTTCTTCCCGTTCAGTCTTCTTTTACATTCAAAACGTGTGTGTGTGTGTGCACGATAATGGACGCTGCCATTGTGAGCGAGCTCCAAGCTACAAATGTGGCCCAGATTTACTCACATGCAGCTCTTTTTGGACCAGTGGTTCAAACGTATTATTTTACACTGACCTAGTGAATGTCAGCTGATAACCAAAAAACGACATCACATCCATCCCACAACCATGTTGGATGAGTTCCAGTTGATGAGAATCCACTTGTAAATGCATAACAGCATTTTATAATATTCCATGCGAAGCAAGGAAATAGTCAGACCGACTGCTTAAGAGGCAGCACTTATAAGCCTAACTTAATAAAATTATACTGTGAGCAAACACACACACACACTCAGAGAGAGAGCGAGAGAGAGAGAAACAAGGCATTATTATACTCTTCATATAAAGAGATCTAAAATCAGGAAAGTGCTTTAAAGAAAACAGTTGAACCAGAACTTTTGCACAGTTAATATAACAAGCTGACATCCTGGTTAGCAGAGTCGTCTGAGGTCTAACAGGCTGACAAGAAAGACATACTGCATCCGAGAGCAGTACTACTACCATCTTGGTGCATACTGTAGCTGGAAAATATCACTTTGTCCCACAAACTGTGTGTAAATGTATGATCACACAAATATATCAAAACTCATTTTTTGAGGTTTTGTGTGGGTGTGTTTTTCTGCAGATTTGCTGTCCTTTCTTTCCCATGCTATTTGCAGAACATATCTGTAGTATAGCCATTTAATTTAACCATTTTAAAATATGCCTGTAGGTGGCAGCAGTGCAACTTTAGGTTTCCCAGGTAAATCTGAAGAAGAAAAAATGAGCTGGAGAGAAGGACTAGCCTCGAGATTAATTTATGTCCAATCATGCATTTATTCACCAAATACAATTTCAAAATATTTTTATTTTCAATGGTGAGAATGTGTACAGGGATACATTTTACATTTTATGCAGTAAAATATGTTGGGGGGTTGGTTTTTTTTTTAGACTTTGTTTTGGTATGTGGTTGCAAAGATAAGCTGTGCTTTTCTCACCACTAACAAGTATTAGCAACGGTTAGACTTGTAGCACAAAATGTATTACTCGTAAAAACTAACTCAAAACTAGCCTTGATAAGACGAGAAAACTAGATGCAGTAGCACACTAGAACCCAAAAAATGGAACATTTTACCTGTGTTTATGGCACCCCCTGCTGGACATGTAGGTGGGGTTAAATAATTTGTTTATAAACAATATTAGCAAATATGCTATTTCCAACTTAGCAGATCGATAGTTTTTGTGGATTTATCCTTGATCCCCTACTGTATTTGATATATATATACATTTATTTAGACCGCTGCAGCAGAAGCAGGCAACCAATCACGTTGATGCTGAGACTGTTTTATTTATTTACAACTTCCCTAAATAATCAATCCACGAGGAAAGACTGGAAAAACAGCAATAAAAGCGGAATGCCCTTAATACCTCTGGCACAGACTCCTGCTCCTCGGTTCAACAGATGGAGGTAGTCTCCTGCTCCATCCTGATGGAAGATTCTACTCTCATTAAAAGGAATTACGACTGCGCCTATCGACTTGATACAGCATTTTTTTCTTTACTTTTCTCAAACTTCCAAATCCCAAAGACAAAGAGACAGAGGGATCGTGTGTCTCTGCTCCATTGCGCACTCAAGATGCATTTCCTCCAAGTAACAAGTGCCCTGAAAGATCCTGACAAGCTCTCCTGGTCTGCACTGACGTTAGCAGGGAAGCTGTGTTATAATATAAACCCGTCACATATGTCAAAGTGGACGAGGGACACGTTCACGGTGATCCGGCAGCATCCAGAACCCCCGGACCAGCTCTGTCTGTCCAGTCAAGTCGCTAAGATCTAATATTTGTGCCGCTTTACTGCATAGAAAAGTAAAAAAAAATTTAAAAAATCCATGGTTAAAATTTAAGTATTTCCGAATCCAAATTTCGGGATATTCATAAGTGCGAAAACGAAACCGAAAGAAATATGTTTTCCCAGCTTTTATTGAAGTGTCATGAATGCCTCACCTGCCTCGCCGAGTCCCCATGCCGAGTTTCGTGAAATAAAAAGCCGGAACAGGGCTGACTGTGTCGGGATCTTCACTCACAGCCGGGAAGAAATACTCCAAATATCCCTTTACCCCGCGAACTGCTTGGCTTTTTCGGGAGTGACCTTCCTATAAAGCGACGGCTGTCATTATGTCCCCTCCGCTGTCATGTCACTGCTTTTTCCTCATGTTGTTTATTATTTTATTTTTTTTATTATTATTATTTATTTAAATGTTATCTGTTTTCTCAAGCTGGTAGCTCTCCTCCTCCTCCTCCTAGCGCGTTTGGATGCTTCTGCCGTGACTCCCGGACTCAACACGAGCTTCGCGGGTGCGCGCAGCGCGTTCCCGCAGCCACATTCGGGCGCGCCGATTGGAGACGGAGAAGAGTTACTAGGTAACCAAGGGCACACGCATCCCACATGAAAGGCAGCAGAGAGGATTTATGCCCTGCGAATATGCTCTGCCCTTCTCCTCTACCTTCTTTGACAGCTCAGCCAAAATGGGCGTTTTTAATATTTCAATGATGTGCCAGACTTTAGTGTCCATATCACAAAAACACTATATATCATCCCCTGGAATCATCATCCTGGTATGGCCTGGAGTCCCTGGAGGGGGTTCTGAAATCCATAGGTATTAGTTTCCCTGCAAATAGGGCGGAAAAATCTACAAACGATCCTTACCGAGTTGATACAAGGTTAAGAGAAGAGAGAAGGACGTTTAAGTAAGCTGGGAGAATAAAGAGAAGAGCTGGAATGGTTCCCTAAATTCTAAACAGGCGATTTAAAATCTTATTAAGCTACACAGGTTTGGGAGGAATTAAGTTTCAAGCTGATCTCTCATTTCCCACAAAGAAAAAGTTTTCTAGTAAAAAAAAAAAAAATCCTCAACTTAATTTATATTTTAAATTTAGTGTTTTTGTAAATAACACAGAATAAATTGGAGTTGTTTTGACTGATGATATTACGAAACGTAGTAGGCATACATCTAAGAAAACAACAATCTGATTCATATGTAGAATACATTTGCATAATAATGTTTGTTCTTAAAGGTATAGTACTCTGAATCAAAATAAATAAAACGAATATTACACGGAGTAATACTACGACAACGTACTCTTTTTATTAAAGGGGCAAAATTGCAATATAAAATGTAAAACTGTTTTATTTTCTGTTAAAAAATTGAAAAGAAATGTTGCATGTTACAGCACCCCCTTCAGGTGATTGAGGGCTATATGCTTGGTGTTAAGAAAAACACCAAGCATATAAAAGAACTCAAAATATTGAGTTGAATATAATAGCTCAGTGGTTCTCAAACTATGGCACGCATACCAATGCTGGTACTTGGGCTCCCTCTAGTGGTAAAATGCTGAACACGATCCCCATTTGAATCAGGTTACTCATACAGTAAAATGTTAAACAGAGCTATTATTTACCTAATTTCTTTCTATGTGTTTTGGTTTGTGTGTGTAGTTTCAGAATTAAATTTAAGTGCCAGTTATTGTGCTGCTTTATTGTTCAATACATCTGGCTGTTAGGCTAATAACTGCATAATGAATAAACTCTATTTTTGCATATTGTTCTCAGCCAAACAAGGGAAGGTCTAAGCTTCTGTGGTTTAATACTGGTTGTACTAGTACTGTGTAGAGAACACAATATTTTGGAGCTGCTACATGCTGTAAAATTCTGTCATGCTTTACTGTATATACAATAGGCCAGTATTATCATCAAAAGTCATGGGTTTAAATACATGCTCTGACTTTACAGTTTAGCCTTTGTTTTTTTTTAACCAAATCATTTTTTATTTCATACAACCAGTTAAGTCAATTTATTCTATGTATAAATTTGTATATTTTGAAAATGTTGCTGTATTTCTACAAGGTCTTTTGAAATTTGCTCATGGACAGCGTACATAACGTCTGTTGAAATTTGCTCATGGACAGCGTACATGTTGCACAAAATGGGAATCATTTCTGTCCTTTTTCGTCTTCAATTCAAATAAAGAAAACTTCTCAGTAAGCTGAAGAAAAAAAACAACAACACAACACTCCGCAACACAATAGGCCGTTCATGTACCGAATAAAAATGACAAATACAACGACGTACCTGTGTTTGTTATGCAAGCAGCACTGGAGTGAATATCTAAATGCCACACATGCTGTGTTCAAACTCAGGAGCCACAGTAGATACAACGACACGGTTCATCCTCTCCATATGACTCGGCTCCCTCTGCTGACATTTTTGAATCTTGGTTGAAACCCCATTTCTTCTCCTTGGCCTTTAAATCCAATGGAGATCAATACTGTATCATCAGTGCTTTGTCTTTCACTGTCATTCTTCTTCGTCCTTGAATCAGTTCTTTTCGTCAGTCTTTTAACCTAAGTTGTCGGCTCTGTGTGTTTTTAAATGTCCTCTACACCAAAAAAAAAAACAAAAAAACTCCATACTGTTGTTGTGACTTTGCTAAGTGGAAATTTAAATTACCTGCTGCTTTAGAATGACTTTTTTATCACCAAGTGTACAAAACTGTTTTTTTCTCATTACAAATACATGGGGAACAGTGGGACTGAGGAGGAAATCAGTGCTTTACAGTCAAAAGGCGTAAAAACTTACCTCGGGACTTCATACAGTATGGAAATGTTGTTCAAATGAGTTTTTACCTGAGACCTTGATTATCAAACTCGCTCGACTTCTGCTGCACACGTCAGTAATTACCGCCGAGGTAAAGGATTTCACTCCTCCACGTACTTGTGGAGCGAATTCTATCAATGAGTGCCTCTTTTTCTGTCCTTTTGTGATTGCTCAAATACTTACTACTGTAAATACATGTGTCGATGTGTCAATAATTTAAATGTCAATTAACTTGGTTAAAATTGATTAGAGGTGGATTTTTCTGGGAAATTTCTGAAGGATAAGGGTCACGTTCCTCTGACCCAAGGTGCCCTGACCCAGTGAAGGTCACGGTCAAGACCAACCAGGTCAAGTCTGTGGGTTAAGCTACAGTGCTGGAGGGGAAAAACCAAAATAATCCCTAGGGAAAACATTCTGTTATAGCACTATGTACCAGTGCAGTTTTGCAGTTATATTAAAGCAATGTTGATTAATCGCGATTAATCCACAGTTGTGATTAATCAGATCAAAACATATGTTTGACAGCCAGGTCCCACACAATCTGACAGATATCAGC